CAGCCCCTATATATGTTTATGTCTAACATTTTTGCTTGACATTGTATTAAATAACTGTAAATTCTATCAAAACCACATTTCGATTTTTGAAGTATGTTCACCATATCTCTTAGTAGCTGTTGGGATCTGGAGAAGTTCCACCTTTCTCCAGCAGAGTCCGCCGTGGATCCTCCTGAGCTGAGCCTTCGACACACCTGAGGCGCATCTCATCATCAGAGGATCCACCAGTATATAACCTGCCTTCAGACCTTGCCTCAACGCCGCAGTGTTTATCCAGTTTGGTTAGCACCTGAGCCTAGCTTCTTCTGAGAACCTTTGTTGCTCCTGAGTCCTGATTGGATTCTAATCCCTTTTTGTCTCTGCTTTCAGGAATCCAGTTTTTCCCTTGTAAGCTCTGGATGAGCTTAACCTGCCGAGCCTACCCTCTGAGCCAAACCTGAAGACTCTTCTCTGGATTCCCATGCAGCTCTGGACTAAGAGCTGGAAACCCAAAGCCAAGGTCTGCCCTCACGTTAGAAGTAAGACGCTGAAGCGGTTATTGGACTCTGCTGAACTAAACAGTCTCTGGACCCAACAGTTCCTCTCTCAAAGCCAAACCCGGACTTCTCAAGGTATAAACCTGAAACTCTCAAACTCAAACTCATCTGCTTCCAAGCTAACTGAACTGTCCTCCTCACAGACTCCAGTGAACCTGCCCCCAGGCCTGAACCAGTTCCTGTGTTTATTCCATGTGCTTGTGCTCAATAAAACTTGTTAAACTTTTCATCTGTTTCCGTGGTGTTCTGCATACTGGGCTTTTCTGAAACCCATCATGACAGTAGCATCTAAAGTGGGTATATCCTTGACTGACACTAGCCTATCTCCCAATGGAAAGCAGAGAAAGTAGGAAATCCTTTAGGTTACCAGCCAAGGAATGCTAGTCATCAGCTAGAATGCTATTAAAAGGGAGCACTCTCCTTCTCTCTCCATTTGCTATCACATCTTCCCAAAACTAGAATGTTCTCCTGAAATCTCAGTCTGCCATAGCCTTGGGAAACCTTAAGATACCCCAAGAGGACATGGAAATTGTTACTGAGGAGGGGAATCTCTGGGATTGCTTTAGGCAACTGTTATTTATGCCACCTGACAGCGCATAATTTGGTGGAGAAGTATGAATTGTTTTGTTAGACTGAAAAAGGTAGGAAAATTTTTTTTCAGGAGTAAACTCTTAAATACTTTAACTAGCTCATATCTCCTTGATACAGAGAATGAGAACCAAACTAGATGCAACTAAATGAAACAACCTGTCTCTCTTTACACTTGGTGTCATATTTCTTAAGGTTTAAGCTCTGAACGATGATCCATCTGTATGTGTCAGCGACAGACACGCAAGCTTTCTGGGAAGCAGACTGGAGCTGATTCAAGCGTGGGACTTTTCCCCCCTTTAATCACCAAATCTTTTATTGTGAAATCCACTCTTTCATTGTGAAAGATTTATACCACCTGTGGCTGAGGGGCCTGTTTCACAACAACATGAAAACCTCTTAGGACGTATGACTCGTGTGTCGACATGTTTCCAACTAGCTGAAAAAGTAAGAACACAAATCCTCGTTCGTTATCAACAAATGTTTTGATGAAAAAGGGAACAATAATAAAGCCTTCCGCGAAAGTTGATTGTTTTTCTGTTTCTAATTTGCCCATTTCTCATTATTGGTTAGATGCAAATGATCAGTCACTTCCACGGAGCTTGGGTGTATCCTAATCTCTGCTTGGGGTGCGCACAGACTCAAACCTCACCCACCCACTCTGTGTTTTAGAGCTGGAGAAACATCAACCCCTGTGGGGGTCTTGGCATGGGGTACCTCCTGAAGGGGGGAAAGCTAGAGGCCTTCTGTGGGGCCTGTAGGGCTGGATTTGTCTTCCACCTCATATTGATTTGATTAGCTGAGGTCATTTCTGTGTGTAATTCCTGCAGTGTGATATAACCACATCTGTCAGGGGAGTTGTGTAACTTTCTTCTTATCTAGCTTACACATTCCACCTAGTGTGCAGAGAGTGGGGATGATGTAGAGACAGGCAGAGATAATCCAGTCTTGTTTCAAGTAAATCTAAGCTATAGACACATCAAAATTCCCAACTCCAGCAGAAACGGGATGCGCTAAGACTCTTTACAAGGTCAGAAGCAATAATGCTGAATTCCCAAGACTGTTTTTGCTTCTTGTGGAACCTTGAAGGGTTACACCATGCTGCTTCAGCGGAAAAGAGACACGTCCTTCTTTGCACAAATGCACAAGCTGGAGTACAGAGGGAGTGGGTTTAATTTGCCCTGAGGGAGTCCTTCAGGGGCTGTAAACAAGATGTGTATGCAGTGTGACCTGCAAACAGCATGCATCTGCATTCTCCATTTGTTAAATCCTCATTACCTCGCTGTAATTAGGCTCTGTAGCAGCAGTCTTGTTGGGGCCATCTGAGTGTGTTTGCATTGTTTTATATTTGCTCCAGCAGTCTTTGACTGAGCCAGCAAATACAGATTTTTTAGGGGACTTTTTTAATGCAAACTAACTCCCTGTGATGGGCAGACTGCATGACTCTGTGGAAAAAACAGGGAAATGTTGTGTTTAACTGACCCAGATACAGATGCTCCATGACTGACATCAGCTATTTAAAGCAGTCGTTTTCATCTCAGGATTTGAAGTTCCGAATGTCTGTAAGAAAACAGCTGAATGAGTTCAGCTTTCAAAGCATTTCTCGCCCAAAAGTTATTTCTGGACCGACGTTTCCTCCAAGCTCTGGAGAAATCCGTTCGAGGTCTGGCTCGGCTCGTTCTGGTTTGGATCATGAACAGTGGATCTGTGTATTTTTGCCTGCTGCTAATCAAATTAGAACCCACAGCTCTCCTCACCTCCACTCAGTCTGCCTCAGCAGGACACCAGCAGTAAAAGGCCTTCATAATTACCCCTGGGGAAGTGGACCAGAACATTCACTGTCAGCTTTTCTTCCCTATGGAAACAATGAAACCAAATCTGACTCATTTACCTTCCTCCTGAAGTTAAAGCAGATTAAACTTCATTTCTTTGGTTTTTCTAGTTTGATATTTCACACCATTTGGTATTTATTATTATTAAAGAGGCAGTCCCTTTTTGTCATGATAATTGAACTGTTTTTATCAATATTTTAGGGATTTGATGGCTGTCAGAGCATTTTAAGTCCTCCAGTTCATGGTGTGACCAATCAAGTTGGGGAGTGTTAATATATACCAGCAGAAGTGGTGGTAGCCTTTCAAAATAAAAGATAAAAATTGCTTTAGAATATTAAACAGGTTGCATTTTTCTTAAGCATTTATTAGTGGCACAGGCCATGTTGCCTTGCAGCAAGGCAACATGTTAATAAAAAATACAGGAGACTGACTAAATGCTGTAGAAGATTCTCAATAAAACCAACCTCAAACAGGGTGGGTGGACTCAGGTTTCAGCTCTCAAAAACCTACAATGCTGGGATACAGTTGATTCTTTCCCTCAATCACTACAACCCCCACCCCCATGCAGGGGACCAAAACATCTCCCCTGGGCAGCCAAGTCAACAATTGCCCCTTTCAGGGGCATAGATCAGTATTGGGCATTAATCAAAAATGACTTGACTGGGTAACCGCAGTGAATGATCTTGTTTCCTACAAAATATTTATTGGGTAAAGACCATGTTTTGTTGCAACATACTTCTGAGACCAGACCAGACTGAAATTACATAAGGAACTGAGATGCAGTTATCTTGGAATAAAGTGTGAATATGTTTATTATTTTTAGGAGATTTGGGTTGAAAACAGAGTCTACTTACATAAGTACAGTGGTGTGAAAAGTACACACATTTGTTACTTAAGTAGAAGTATAGATACTGCAGTTTAAAAACACTCTGGTAAAGGTTGAAGTATTAACTTGTCCTCTTTACTCAAGTAAAAGTGAATAAGTATGTGCTCCAAAAACTACTGAAAGTATAAAAGTATAAAGTAACCTTTAAAAAAAAAAACAGCCAGATGCCGCTATATGAACTGAAAGCTCAATTTTTTTACTATTTCGAAATATTCTTTGAGATAGGGCCAAGGATGAGGGAGGTCTAGTTGGTCTCCGTCTCCATCTCCCGATACGCTCTCGCCTGTGTCCGACCTTTCAGACATTTCAACATCTTTTTCTGAATCCTACATTGTAGCATGGCATGGACGAGTCGCATTTGCAGTTTGAAGAACACCTGCTTGCTTCTGATGATTTCCTTTAGCTAACCAATGAGTGTTTGCGTTATATGACTCATCCAATTACATTAGTTTTCACTAGATGTGGATGGAGCCAATGATCTGCAATGATGGCGCACATGACGTGAAATAAATATTTATAAACATTAAACCGAAGCCAAGAGTAACAATCAACGTTTGTTTTAAAATGCAAGGAATAGAAAGTACAGATGCCTGTGTGAAAATGTAATGAGTAGAAGTCAGAAGTAGGAAGAAAAATAAGTAATGGAGTAAAGTATAGATCCCTAAAAGTGCTCTTAAGTACAGTAATGAGTATTTGTACTTCGTTACTTTACACCTGTGCACAGCGGTGAATAATCTTAAAGGAAACCTTTTTAACCTTGTTTACTAGAATATATTTAATGAGTAAAGACCATGTTTTGTTCCAACATACTTCTGAGACCAGACCAGACTGAAATTACATAAGGAACTGAGATGCAGTTATCTTGGAATACAGTGTGAATGTTTGTTATTTTTAGGAGATTAGGGTTGAAATCAGAGTCTACCTACATGAGTATCAGTTGGATCAGGTAGAGGTCTTGGGCCTTCGGAGAACAGAGAAGTCTGAACTTTAAATAACATTATTACACCTGGTGGAATAGCATCAAAAACAATAGCAAACTGCTCTTTTTGAGAAACTTTCTTTTGTGTTGTTGCGTTAGGCTAAGTGTGAGAGGATCTTATTTTGAAATCTCAAACCGGATGTTGGCCTCGGTCCCTTTAAGTGAGCTGATTTAACGCTTCTCCTTCAGTTGGGGAGTTGATCCACTTTAACTTTCTCAGAGACAGTAATAACAACCCGTCAGTAAGAGGTTTATTCCCTGCGTGGAGCTCACCTCCGTGTCCGTGGATTGTAGGACTAAAGACTACCGTGATTTTACAAGAGAAGAGACAGAATTTATTCTGGGGGTAAATATCATCTTAAAATGATTATTTCCTTATTTTGGATGTTTTTTATTTGAACACATTTAAATGTGAGGTGTGTGGCTGCAGTTCAGCTTCTGAATGGGGCTTTTGTGTCTCTATTATTTAGAAAACAAAAAGAGTGAAAAGTGACCCGTGTTACAATTTAATTGTTGACATAAACGCTTCTAGCAGGCTGCGCCCCTTTGTGCGCTTCCACAGTGGCAGGAGGCAGTAAAAGCTTAAGCTTTACAATTTATAGTGTGTTAGAAAGAAAAGAAAATATATTTTTATAAACATTCATGCAACAATCCTCCTGCTTATATTCAATTTCATCTGCTGACTGTTTTAACTGAAGTTGAGCATCATCATCTTAATTTATAGAGATTAAAATGTTTTAAAAGTTGGTGAATTTGACTAAAAGTGATCCAAAACATTGCTTTAAATCGTCAAAGACCATTTTAGGAGAAGTTAATGTAAAAAGAAAGAAAAAGTAGAAGCTGTGTGTGTCTCTGCCTGGTGTTTTCCAGAAAGGGGGATGTTTATTCTACTGAAATCAGTCAGCTGGGGAGACTTCAGGGGGACCTGAGGATGATCTCAGAGGCTGCTCTTACATAACCCACAGGGTTTGAGAGCTGAGGAAGTTAATTAGGCTTTAACTTTGTTTCTCTGATCACAGTCTTTTATCAGAATGAACCCCAGGAGCTGCTGGAACCAGTTATACTGCATCATAATTAGGTAAAGACAACAAAAGCCAGCAGATCTAAACCCCAGAACCTGCTCTCAGACTGATATTGCAACATGAAGACAGGCATGAATCATAAGCTGAGCTGATTCAGTGCATATGGCCCATTTACTCATCGGCTTTATTATGGAAAACATGGGCGTAGGTTTGCATAGGGACCATAGGGACATGTCCCTACCAAAAACTTGGAAGGACCTATTTGTCCCTACCAATAATTGGATGTAAACAACATGTTTATAATTTACTATACAGCAGCCGCTTCTTTTCCTCTCGCAGCTTCTCTGCCTGGTAGCTGCAGCTGCCTGCTCTTTCCTGTATCTTTCACATAGCAGCGCATCAACTGTGCTGCGCGGTTTAACTCTCTGATTATTCTGCCTTAAGTTCCGCCTTCTCTCTTTCTGATTGCGTGTTTTCTAGTCTGTATGTGCGCGGGTTCTTGGAGCGCGAAAAAAAAGACGCTAAAATAAATTAATATTGGGCCAAGAAGCTAGTCCAAATGAAAAAAAATATTATCTACGCTAAAACAGGCGAAAGCTTCCGACTGGAGTTCTGTAAAAAAGCAGGAGAGAGTTTTATTGATTTGTGGAACTTGAGAAATGTAAGTTAACAACGTTATGATTTCTTTTATTTTATCTTTTAATCAGATAGCCAAAGGCTCCTTACAGAAGATCTTTTATGAAATGAAACCAGGTGAAACAGAAACGTTTAAACGTTTCCTTTGGAGGAGTTCTGGATGGAGAATATTGAGAGACAAAACTTTTTTTTTTTTTACTTCTTAAATGCTAATATTTTTTACAATCTTGGTGTAATTCCTGCTCTAAGTGGGTCGCTCTGTCGGCTAAAGGCACATTTTAGTGGCCCTATACTCCAGTTTACGATTAATCAATTACTAAATTAGTTCACAATTATTTAAATAATTTGTTAATATGATTGTTTCAGCCATAGATAAAATACATGAAATTAGCAATACAGAGTAGGCTAACTACAGCCCAGATGTACAACTTCTAATATTAATATTTTAAATGCTCAGTGTCAGTTCCTCTTCTAGTTCCAGTGCACATGTAAATACTATACATTTATTTGCTGTCCCTTGAATGTATTATTTTGCATGATCCAGAGAGAGCATATTAGATTAAAAAAAATAAGAGTGGGGTTTACCTCTGTTTACCTCTGCACAATTCTATATCTTCAGAAGAAAACACAGGATAAATCCACATATTAGACTATATTTGGTTAAACAGACACTGTCTTAGTCGCAGGTAAATTTAAATGCAATCCTTTTCAAAGTGGAAAAAGTCCTAATTCCACATTCATCAGAGCCAGTGATGCTTTAAATATTGATAAACAGCATCTAGTGCATGTAGTGCTTTTAAGATTTGTAGCCTATTAATGTAGCAAGAAATGCTGCTGTTCTCTTTAAACAAAATGAGCCCTGAAGCTCACATTAAGCATAAAAAAGAGCATGCTTATTTTTTGCTAAAGACCAATGAAACTGAAGAATAGTGTCCCTACCAAAGTTGAAATCAAACCTACGCCCTTGATGGGAAATATGTCACATTTTGGGGGATGGACAAAAAAGTTGGACAAAAAAGAAAGGTTGAATTTATTCCCTCATTGAGTTTCTTTTAGGGCCAGCCATAAGTTGTGTGAGGGCCTGAGCAGAATTTCATATGGTTGGATTAAATGCATTTAATGAAGTTCTTCTTAATACTGATAAAACATTATTTTGGACAATATTATAAAATTTGTCATTCTTTAAGATTTAGAAAATTGGGCAGTAGTTCTTATAATATAAAACAATTAGGAATCCCTATGATAACCAGTGGTGACAATTTAATTCAGTTTATTTCTATAGCGCCAATTCACAACACATCATCTCAAGGCACTTTACAGTTCACCAGATCATACAGTCAAATTGATTCAAAGTTTTCTATCTAAGGAAAACCAGTCGATTACATCGACTCATTGACTCGAAGGCAATCCCTCACACTAAGCATGCTCGTAGTGACAGTGGAGAGGAAAAACTCCCTTTTAACAGGAAGAAACCTCCAGCAGAACCAGGCTCAGTGTGAGCGGCCATCTGCCGAGTCTGACTGGGGTTCAAGGAGACAGAAGCAGATGGGCTCCAGGCCAATTCCCGCGTCAGAGGATGAAGAGAGCACATCCAGCCAGTAACAGTCAGAGAAACAGGACTACACTGAAAAACAGGATCTACAATATCCTGCATACTATTAAAACAATAATAATTATTGGAATTTGAGAACTAAATACAGGAATTGATGTCTTTGTGTCAAGCAGCATCTTTTCCAGAGAGATATATATAATGCTGTAAGGGTGTCTTGTTTATACAGCAGCATTTAGTTTAAGCTGACAAATTATTATTGCTAACTTTTTAATTTGCCCTAAATGTAACTTTGAGGTACACATGAACATCTGTTAGTATGCAATATTCAAAATCCCTCCACCTATGTCTCCTCCGTACCACTAAGGGGACTGCTTTAAGCAGATTGGTGGGGGAAAACTCTCTCTTAAATGTCACAGCAACTCTTGTCACCACCCGATCTGTCCCGCAAGCACGATCTGTTCTGCGCATGCGTTATCAGCTTATTTGCGCATCCAGATATACATCTCGGTCGCCCTGGATGTTTTTTGTTAAAAAGACCTAAATGATGTTTTTCCCTCCCCAAAAATAGTTAACATACTAAAATATGTTTCAAAGGTTAATGTATTTCATGAAATCCTTTCTGTTTTATCACTCGTCTCTGCCCGATCTGCACTGGAAATGGGATCCTACGCTACTTGCAGTGGCTAACTTCTCCGGCTTTGGATTTAAACATAAATCTAGTCTTTTTGAGTTTTTTATCGTTGTGTTTTAACCTTACAGTATATAATGCGTAATCTAAGAAAGAAACAACCAAAATTCAGATAAGGATGGTTTAATCATATTTTGTCGGACTGTTCTGAGCATGTCCGATGATGACGTCAGAGAAGCCGTTTAACGAAGAAAATGTAAAAAGCATCAAAATTGTTTCACAAAAGTCATAAAATATTTTTCATAGATGTGTATTAGCATTCTTCAGTGAGGTAAGGATAGAAGGAAGTAATTTTAGTACCATAATTACATTCTTTATGGATACCCGGATATATATTCGCGCATGCGCAAGACGGATTGGATAGTGACAACTGTTATAAAGAAATATATACCTTGCCTATGCCAGAACTATTTGTTTTATGAACAGGAATCTACGCAAAGTCTCTGACAAGGCCGAAAACCAAAGGTTGTTATTATTTGTAGTTTGTTTTTAGTTTTCTTTAGTTTTTATAATTAACTAAGCAAGAATTACCTAGGCAGGGATAAATCAGAGTGCAAAATGTTGATCAGTGCTTCCTCCAGATATATGAATGTGTTTTAAGGTTCCTATTAATGCATGACCACTAAATTAAACTGATCAGAGTGAATGTTATGAACACTGACCAGAAAGTTAATTGCCACTGATTAACTTCTTTATAATGGCACCTGTTAATAGGTAGGACAGTTTGGACAATGTGTTAATATTTTCTAAAATGGGAAAGAGATGATTTGAGTTGTCTGAAAGTCAGGCTATAGCACATTTTAGTAATAAGGGAATTCAAAATGCTTTAAATGCACTGGTCAGTATCAATTAGGATTGGTCCAGAGAAGGAACAGTGATGATTTAATGTACGAATTATGAGTCATTGATGCACATCGAGAGGGAAGGCTGGTCTGATTCAACAGATGGGTTTCTATTAGTGTTGCCCAGATGCCATTTTCTTGCCCCAATACCTGATACCTGGCTGTGCATTACTGGCCGATACCGATACCATCTGTTTGAAATTGATGTGTGTGTATATATGAAGAACTGCATAATACTGGGATGTAAAATAATTGCCATCATGGCTTTGTCAAGCTGCTGCCTACCTTTGTGAAGCTGGAAAAAAGCCTAAAACAAAGTGAATCCAGTAGAACTTTTTATTGCCTACCTGGAATGGGTGACAATAGTTGAATAAACCTTTGGCTCTTAAAATGGTATCAGTGCCCTATTTGTCGGTACTCGCCTATACCGATACCACCATTTTAGTGCTGGATTGGGGCCCTGCCCGATACTGGTATCAGTATCGGTGCAACACTAGTTTTTATGGGTCAAATTTTCAAAGAACTTTACTCTGGTTCTAATAGAAAGGTGTCAGTTTGTCAAGCTCAATTCATTCAAGACAAAAAACATTTATGCATTCTTTCAGC